AGTCTGTCTCCAATGTGCTGACCTGAGTTTTCCCTGAGCCTACAATCTCATCCTACTTAGACCAGATTGCTCGGAATAAATCATTGTATCAGGGCATGGTGAATGCGCGGGCACTTTTCCAAAGAAGTGTTTCCATTAGAAATTTCATGCCAAGTGCTGCTGGAGTCATCTACAAGAAGGTTAATTCGTTACCAAGAGACCTTCCTTCCCCACTGCCATATTTCTGTCTTATAGTGAGGATGGTGATGTGGGGAGAGGTGGAGAGGTGCTTCCAATGCATGCAATGCCACTCCTCTATCCCTTGTCTCATTGTCTGCTTGTTGCTGCTGCAGGCCTCTGTATTATTTACAGTGTACCTCTAACACTAGGATATTCTCTCCTCAGATCCTTGCAGGTGCACATGGAGGACAGCGCCCAAAGCAAGGGCATGAAATGGTAGAGGCAGTGGTTTTAGAAAATCATAAGGGATGCAATGCCAATGATCGTTGGAAGACATAAAACTTTGATGAAGGTATCCAGGCATGCTGGGGGAAAAAAGGACTGGGCTACAGGACAAGCCACAAGACACTCCATTCACACTGCCAGACAAGTCCTCTGTCTTCCTGCCTCCCTTTCCCATGAAGGTATGAAACTCAAGCCCAGTGATTTGACTCAACCACCCAAGCTCTTATCCTGGGCCTCCTATGACAGCACCCATGGCTCCCATCATTTCATCACCCTGTTCCTGAACCTAACATGGAGCCTATTGCCAACATAATAAACCTCTCACCTGGGAGCTGTTTATAGGTTCTGCTCTGTGGTCAAGAGAACTGCTGCCTCCTCATGCCAGCTCTGTGCCTTCTGTCTATTCTTCTATATTCACAATGTTCTCACTCCCTGGAGTAATTTCCTTAGCACCTGCCCTCTCACTGTCCTTCTTTAGATGTGAAAGTTCCACCCATCCTGTAAGGGGCTGAGCCAACAGAATTTCCTTCAGGAAGCTTCTCCAACCTACCCAGCTGGAGGAGTCCATTCACAGCACTTGGGCCTTTCTGGTGTTTTCCCATGGCTGAGAAGAACTTGGTATATACATCCTCTCTCCATAAGCTACTTTCCCCTCAAATCACATCACACTTCTGTGCCCCTACTTGGGAAAACGGCAGGGACGTGGTATTTGTGGAGAATGGGAGGAAAGGAGGAAGGAGGGAGCTCACTCCATATCAAGCTCCTGAACAGAGAACAGATCGATTTCCCATGGCTGCCTGGGTAGACACAAAGGGGCTCTCCTTTTCAATTAGCATTGGGAAGAGCAGGGCATGCTTCTCATAAAAATTCCCCATCTCTATGTTTTCTCACGATTCTCATTGCATTTCTCCAGGTTTCCAAATCCATTGTGGGGCACCTCTGTTGCTCTCCAGCTTGGCTCACACTGTCAGAATGTCAGATTGATTTGTCCTTTTATGCTTTAGTGTCAGCCAAAACAAAAAGACAAGGGGCTATCCCAGAGACCCCAAACACTGCACAACTATTTTGTTGGGTGTTGGGGCTGCAAACAATGCATGTGAAGAAGTTTTAGGTGCTGTGAGATTTTATGATTTTTTTTTTAAATGTCTTTTCAAAAAAGCCTCCAGGATAGATACAAAAATGGCTACTTTTGATTGGAAGTTAACAAGGGAGAAACTCTATGGCATACCAGATAAATGGATAAATAAATAAAATACATAACAGTAACTTGACAAATAGTGAGATGCTGTGGCATAGTGAGAACAACACTTGGAATTTGGAGTCCAAGTTCTAGCTGGGCTTTGCCTTTCAGTTTAGGCAAGTGAGCTAAATTCTGAGCTTCAGTTTCCTCACCTATAGTATTAGAATCAAAATCATCTACTGTCCAGGGTTGAATCACATATAGAAGAGAACACCCAGTTTTCCCAACAAACATTGTTTAAATGCTTGTTGAATGAATCAACAGATGGGGCAAAAAAAGTACATTATCAAAAACAAAGACAGAGCTTGTTCCTAGGCAAATTGCAAAAAAAAAAAAAAAAAAAAGGATTAACATTGGAGTGAGACTTATATCCTAGATTTTTTTTTTTTACTGTCCTTGATCATTAATTTCCTATCTCCAATAGGAGTGTGGTAACATAAATTCAAACAATCAGCAGAGCTATGATAAACCTTCCACAATTCTGTTGAAACCTTTAAAACCATAATGGGTAAATTCTATTTTAGCTAGTGGTGCATGCTCCTACTTCAGGGGTGGAGTATGTCTGGCCCATAGGCTACATAAGGCCCACCAAATCATTTGATCCAACCCTGCCAAGGCAACTGCACGTGGTAGAACTCAAAACTTAATACATCGCCAGCAGGCTAAATTTAGGCTGACAATCTTGGCTTGCAAATACTGTTATAAACATTCAAGGGGCCCTTGGCAGGGAAGAGGTGTCCCCACTATGTCCTCTGAGGTTAGTTCCTGGGGTCAGCAGGGCTACCTAGCTCTCCAGTGGGGCAGGAGTAGAGCTGGGACCTTCTGATTCTGGCTCTTCACATGTAAGGGAGCCAAGATGGTGTCTCTGCAAAGAGTAGCCATGTTCTAGTCCCAAACTTGCGTGGTCCCAGTGGCATGCCTGTGCGCCTGGGTGCCTATTGGGGAGTGGGGGGAGTGGAGGGGAATGAATAAATGGGAGTTCTGCAAACATTAGCTCTCAGGGTGAACACATCTATGAATGCAGATTGTAAAGTGCCTTAAGGTTTGTTTTTTTTCATGGCAAAAGATAAACTCGTTTAAAGTTGTCAACTGGATTGCATTAAATAGAAGGAAAAGAAAAAAAATGTACACAGTATAGCCATTTGTTAAATTAAACACAATTATTTCTCCTGTTATTTAATTACAAACAGATATAAATATTCTGGATTCTGACATCTCAGATCTTCTTAAATTTTGGATCTGCATTTTGGCATGTAACAGAGGGAGAGTCATATTGCAATCGGTGCGTTAAGCAAAGGCAAGAGTTACAGTTGTATATTGGGACCATAATGACTTCACTAAAACAAGACCTAAACTTTTAATTAACCTGCCAAGACAAATTACAGCTCACAGCTCACAGGTAACGATCACAGACAGCTGAAACTCAACGCCAGGGACCCTTGGGGAAAGAGGGATTAATAGCAACTTCAGAATTGGTCTGTTTTTGTATTGGGGGGGGGACCCAATATTCATTAAACAATCACTGTAGCTGGAGGGGAGACAGGTCAGAGAGGCAGCAAGAGGAATGTGGAAAGCAAGAGGAAGACCAGACAGAACATGAGTGCCTTCCAGTTATCGAGTGCTTTGGGCGGCCAAGGCACTTAATAATCTTCATAATGTGGACTGCAAAGTGCTATTATTTTTCCATTTTCCAGAAAGTTAAAATGAGGCTCAGGGAGGCTCAGAAAGGCAGGACTGGAATGTGGTTTTCAAAGCTAGGTTGACATATTCTTAGGTTCAGGAATACCCGGGCCCTGTTTCAGGTCACCAAGTCACTGTTTCTGGAGACAGGCTCCAGAAACCTGGACATTCACTCAGCATCCTGAAGTGACAACTCTGTTCAGCAGGGCCTAAGAGTCACCCACAAGGCACTTCAATGTGTGGCAACACCAGTGTCACTGGCACAGTTGCTGAAACATAGTCTGCATTTGAATAAGACCCCTGGGTGGCCCATAAGTACTTTCCAAACTGAGCCTGAAGGGGCCACAAGATGTTAGAGGGGCAGGCATTTGGCTGCATGCATCTAGGACCTGAGTCTGAGATCCTGCTCTACTTCCAATGCAACTGCCTGACACCGTAGACCCTGGGAGGAGGTGGCAGGTTCTGGTTCAAAGACTTGAGTTCAAGCCACCCATGTAGGGGACCTAAGCGGAGTTCCAGGCTCTTGGCATCAGTCTGGCCAAGCCCTGGTTTTTACAAGCATTTGTGAAGTGAACTGACAGATGGAAGTTTTCTCTGTTTCTGTCCTCGTGTTGCTTTGCCTTACAAAAAGACACTACAGGGTTAAGGGAACGCAAAGTTGGGTTTCATTATTTAGTGAAAACAGAGGAACTGGCAGGAAGAGCAAGACCATCTCCCTAATTATGACAAAATAGGTTAGCAAGCTCTGACAAGCCATGAATTGGCAAAGGGATCTCACCACAGACCTACGCTTTATTTCTTTAAGATGCACATCCTAATTAAAAGTAGCTTTCTTTGGAGGTTATATTAATATCCTTCCCTATTTATGCTCAGTTAATAAAAAAATAGAAGCATTCTTACTGTGAAGGCTCTTGCTTCTGTGCAAGCGCCACACTCCTGGCAAGTTATACCTCAGAGAAATGAGACTGGGACCAACAGGTTGCAACTCAGGCACCAACAGCAACTTGGTGGGTATGTTCCTGCCATGTCCAGAAAGAGAAAGGATGCCCAGTAACCCTGCCAAATGACAGCTTCATGCCAGAACCAGACCTCCCCCCATGCCACGTGTACACCCTTAGCCTCTACATGGCCATCACCAGTAAACAGGAGCCAGGAATTGCAGAACCTTGTGAAACACAGTTGGAAATCGTAAGTGAGCAAGGTCAGAACCTCAGCTACAGGTAGCGATTCACAGCAGAGCACACTTTCCACACTAACTCCCAAGAACACCTGGGACAAAAAATCAGCACACCTTGGGGCTCAGGTGAGTGCTGGGGGGGGCAGGAAGGCTCCACTGCAGTTCCTGTCCTTCAGGCACCCTCTAATCTTGAAATGTAGCTACTGGTCCACACTGCACCCTCCATACAGCACAACAAAGGCGGTGAGCAATTGCACTGGGCTCCAATGCCAGCCCCTCCTATAATCCCTACTTGTACCCAAGCCTCTTCCATGTCCGGCAAGCCCAATGAAGATGACCTCCTGCCAGACAACAGGTGGTGCCCAGTGTTCTGGGCAAGACATGTGTTCTTGTCAGGGTCAGCCTCCAAAGTCCCCAAACCTCCCCCATCCAAAGGAACCTGGAGGGCGGAGCTCTTACCAATTGCCGTGGTGAGAAAAGAAACCACTTCAGACTCCTTCCCGTCGTTGTAAAAAGCCAGGTGCCAGATTCCCGAGTCCAGGTACTGGATGAAGCCTGTCTCATGGCTGGAGGGGGGTACAACGCCCCGAGACTGGCGCTGGGGTCCCTCCAGGCTCCGTGCTTCCTGGGTCAGCAGCCTTCTTCCATCCAGTAGTTCCACAAAGTCAAACTACAGCGCAAAGAGAGTGCAATTAACATCAGACCTGCTGCAGCACGGTTCCCTCTCTGGGCTTCTCCTGGAGCAGACCCAGGAAGCAGAAGCTGAGAGAGGCAGAACTGCTAGAAGGCTGCAAGCTAACTAGGGCTTCTCCCCAGGGACCATTTTTATTTTGTTTGGTTTCACACCAATGTTCTCTCCTGTGAGTGTGTCATAATTAGTGGATTGTATTTTTAGTTTCCACTTTGAATGTGTGTCGTGTGTGTGTGTGTGTGACTCTTCACCTGGTTGACGTTGCACCAGGACAATCGTGGTTTGTCACCATGGGGTTAGTGAGTAGAAACGCAGCCTTCTCACGACCATTTGAAGTACACACAAGCAGTGTTGGGCATCTGCATGGGCAGGGAAGTGAGGGGTCTAGCAATGGGCCTGGAGCACACTGGATGTGACCTGAATGTCAGTCCCGTGCAAAAGAAAATTTCACTCCTGTCTGCTCTCCTTTTTCCAACAGTTCTTTCTAAAAACTCCAGTTCCAAGGAGCAATTTTAGCGGGGACTAAACCGGATTAGCTCAGAAGGCTGTCAATAATTGCAGACCGTGTCAAATACAATTGCCAATTGATCTTGGCCTACTAGTGTGACTCGCCAGGGGAGCCAGCCATACACTGTTAACAACGGGTAGGTGGTTAAGTCCTATGGACTGAATAGCAAGCAAATTGAGTAGTTCTCTGTCTGTCTAGATTTTGAAAAACAAACAAAAGGCAGTTATCGATTCTATCTCAGGTGAAACTGGATATCCACACCCAGGACTGAGAGTACCACTTATACCAAGTCACAGGCCACAGGCTCCCTCTGTTACTTCCTAGCTTCATCTTGAGCAAGTGTGTCTCTTTTTGTCCTTGAACTGAAAACCACTGATGACTAAGGGACTGTGGAGACAATGTTTGAATTGGGGATGTCTGATAAAAGCCTCAGATTGACATTCTACTCCACTGCAGAACTGGGAGGCCCTGCATCATTCTCTCTCTCCAACAGCCATGACTGGTGACGCGTTAATCATCCTGGCCAAGTTTCTGCAGGTTTTCTGGTGTGCATGTGTCTAAGCAAATGTGTAATCCTGAAGGCGAGAAGAAATGCATGACTCAGGAAATCTCAGGCATTCTCAGCCAGGCCCCGCACTGGCCGCCTTGTAAATGTTATTTGTTATTCTTCACAACAACCCTGCCAAGTGGGGGCTGTTATCACTATTTTATAGCTTAGGAAACCTGCTCTGAGAGGATTGGTCATGGGCCCAAGGTTACACAGCTGATAACAACAGAATTCAAATTCTCTTCTGTGTGATTTCAAAGCACATGCATTTTCTTTCCCCTCTAGATCACATTTCTTGGATAATTTAACTTCAGAGACTGAGTAACAGCAAAAAGTCCATTGAGAGTTTCACAGAATTCCTTCCTTTAAAAAACTCTATGGATTAACTTCAGTCTTCTGAAAGGCAGGTCTGAGAGGTGCCAGAGGGTGAATGCAGGCTACGAGATATATGGAATTCCCAGCTCCCTTTAGGCTCAAGGAGGTGTGTTGGACTTCTTGACAAGCGGTGATAATTTGAGGTGGGAACCCTTGACTGACTGGTGGAGCCAGTCGGGGCCCTGACTGTCGGGGTTCTCGTTACCTGCGTGTGTGAAGGAGGGAGGCCTTTCCTGCCGTAAATGCCAACCAGGGCTGCCTTCCCCAGAGACACGTTGAATTTCAGGTGCACAGGATGGTCAATGAACACCTGAGATCTCCAGAAAGTGCCAGGAGGAATCTTCTGTGAGGCCCGTCTCCCAACGTCGATTTCTCCAGAGTCTATAAAACTGTCCTCTGAAAAGGAGCTACTGGGCTTTCCTACCAAGACACAGGGAAGGAAGGGGAGACAACAGCATCTGGGTTAGCCATGTGCAAATCTGGGCAGCAGAGCATCTTCATGTCCAGCTTCTGCTCAGCCTCACTCCTCCAAGATGCTCTGCTGCCCGCTCTCTGGATGCCCATTTTCCCTACTCAGCCCCCTGGAGAGGTGTGAGAAGGTCCAGGTCCAGAACTCACCACCATCCCCCTCCCCCACAACACTGATGTTCAACTGTTCTGCTGCAAATATGTGTTCTTCCAAAGCAGGATAAGTCCTCCCTGAGGGCCATATGTTTACTGCATATTTCCACAGCATGTGAAGATATATTTTGATCCTAAAAATAATCATTTGCAGTTATATGACAGTATCTGTAATTGTGTGCGTGTGTGTGTGTGGGTGGGTGGATGTGTAAAAGATTGCATGATGAAACCAAAAGGACAGAGAAAATAGATGGTGTTAGGAAATTTACAACTGAGAACCACTCCTTGGGTGGGGCAAAGCATTTAGAAAGTTAACCAGTCTGGGTATAAATGGGAAATAAAATTCTGCTCAGGAGTAGGGTGACAGCTTGGGAGAGAGGCAGGAAGAGGGGGTTCCAAATGGCAGGAATGTCTCTTGGGGAAAAAATGCTTCTTTGTACACAACTGTGGGTGAAGCTGGGAGAATTTCCCAAGTTCATTCACAGAGTCTATATCATCCTAGGATATTCGACCCAGGCTCCCAACCCTGAACCCAAATCCATCCGAAGGGTCAGAAGGGGGGTGGGTCTCTTGCCCACACCTGTCCCAGTCACAAGAGTGACAACTTTCTTGGGGGCATCACAGGTGTCAGGAGGGGTGCCTATTTCATTTTCCATATTAACTGCACATATTCGAACTTCTTGTCTCACAGCGGCCTTCTGAGTGGGGAGGGAACGGGATACTGCAGGGGCATTAGAAGACCACCCTTAAGACTGAAAAGGCCCAAATCACACCAACAGACTATCTTTGTGGGTTCTTAGAGAAGACCCCCTAGATGTCCCAGTTCTGTGGTTCTTTCTGTCATTAGAGATGTTCTAGGAATCCCCTTAGAGAACAAGAATTCATTTGTGAAGAAAATGCATTTGTGGGGCTTTTTACAAAAGCATTTGGAGAATAAGGAATTAAAATGTCTTTTTTTTTCCTTCCCTAGCTCTGTAAGACCCCTTACAAAGCACATTTGATGCTGAAATGGAGCTTGGCAGGGTATTGTAGTCATAAAATATTTTACTGTTTTAAATAATAAAATTCAATTTAAATGTTAAACTTCTCCATATGTTATCATTCCCTTATAAAATTCTAGGCAGAAACATCAGGTTTTTAGCTTCAAACCGTTTAAATGTTATTTTAATTAAAAATGTGCCAACAAAAAAAAAAGTTAAAATGCATGCCATCAATAAAAGTCCCAGTAGTGTTCCGTCATTAGCATGGGAAAGAGTTTGCATCTCATTGCTCCATGGGAGAAATGTGTCCCAGACTCTTACCTTGGAAACAGAGACATGCGAACCACCACTCTGTGAGTCACAAAGTTCAAAGACAGAAGTCAGATTCATGAGCCATTAAGAAGTGTTCAGTCTCCTTGTGTGATTTGTGGGTTCCCACTACCACAGCCCTGTGCTATTGCACCCCCTCAGTTTTCAGCTCCACGATGGAGGAGAACCAAGAGCAGTGGGAAATAAAAGCGGCATGCTCTCTGGAACTTTTGCTCCTAGACACTGCAAAGCTGGCAGCCTAGCACTGCTAATTCCAAGGACTCATTTCCTGTGTCAGCAGATGAAAGTCAGAGATGATGAGATTTGAGGATTGTCTGCATTCAGGTAATTTCTATGGCTAAAAATAATGGAAAACTTCTCTGGGTTTCAGCACATGGCTGGAGATGCTTGCTGCTCAGTTCGCTTTCTCCTCCGCTGAGCAGAGTTTTGGGATAGAGTGTCAGTCTCTGCTGGCTCTGTAGCCCAGCAGGTCAGAGGTCAGGTCCAGATGTCCCTGGGGATTCAGCAGCCTAGGAGCACAAGCAAGTTGGCTCCTATCCTAGACAGGGTGACAAAGGAGGCCTCTCCACCATTCTAGTATTTTCCCTAGGAGTGTAAAATCTTCTTTGGAGTATACACAATGAAATAAAAATTATGTCCAGAGCATAACCCCTACCAGGGCATGACTCTGTGAGGGTTTCTGTCCCCAGTGAGCTCCACTTGAACCAACTGTGGGAATGGGACCATGGCTTGTTGCCTGCAGACACTGTGGATGGGAAAGAGGCAGGAGACTGGCTGGGCTGAAGGCAGGCTCTCTTGCCCATTAGAAACCCTCACTGCCTTTCTCCTTCTACATATTTTAAGCATAAAGGGGCAAGAACCAGGATATCAATACCCCACCATAGAGCAAGACCTACCAGTGGTGAAGTAATGAGAGAGGAGTAGAGTGGAAGGAAAAAGTTCTGTTTATCAAATTTTCTCTATCTACAATCTGGAGAACAATCATAGTAACTTTTAGTAGCAGAAACAGTAGTAAAGATAGAGAGAGTAGCATGGCCAGTAGGAGCAGCTACCATTTAAAGAACTCCAAGTATGTTAGCAGGCATCTTCATTAATTCAGTTAATTCTCACAACAGGGATAAAATCTACATATTGGAGGCTTATCAGGCTTAACAAGCCATTTTGAGAGGAAGCCATTTGGGGGTCCTTCTTTGCTTATTAGAATATGGCTTCTCAGAGGCTTAAATGGATAAAAGATTCACTATAACTCCACAAAGACACTTTCAGTGGTGGCAGGGTGCACTGGCTTTCTCAGAAAGCAAGGACTCAGTTGAATTCATAGCCTCAGCAGGCTAAATATCAACCCTAGTTTAGGGTATATCCAAGATCCACTGAAGAAGCTCCTGGCATGAAGTTGGTCATTTTTGAGATTTATTTTTATGAGTTAGAAAACTGAAGTTAAAAGGCAACAGGCAGGGTCTTCAGATACTCACAGGGCAGAACACCATTCCCATCATGGGTGCCCCAGAGGCTCCCAAGAACTTAGCTCAGAAAGAGAGGCCCCCAGTGACATGATGGCATCTCAGAGGGAAGATACCACTGGTAACAGCCCTGTTCTTTGTAACACTAGACAGATTTAGGTTCCCTATAGCAATGCTGTGAAAATATGCAATCATGTCCATAAAAGAAATATCTGCACAAACTGCTGCAATGATTTGATGGCTCCATCATACAAGAAGATTTGGAAGAACTGAAATTCCATGTGCTCCCCAATCATAGCTGTTACTTGCCTGAACCAATACCTATCCACGTAGGCTCTAAATTCCTTGTCAACGAACACTCTCCCCCTCCCTCCATTTTTTTTCAGTTCTTTTCAATGCACTAACTTGCACAAAGAATCCTTTAGTTTCCTTAGCAACTGTTTGAAATTTACTTGGTTATCAAAATAAGCTGTTCCATTTTGGAGAGCCCAGCTGAGCCTGCGTGCAGTGATTTGCATGGTTCAAACCGATGGGCAATTTTGATTTCACTGCAGAAAAAAGAAAATGCTATCCCTAGCCCACCAATTCAACCATCAGAAATGATTGTTTATTCAGTGCTTTTCCCCCTTCCCCATTAATGCATAACATAAGTTCTGTGGCTTTACTTTGAAAAGCTGCTGCATTTGGTTTCTGCCCCATAACAACCCAAAATGGTTACATCCACTTAAAAAACATGGCATGCATTGCAGTTTAACGTTATGCTCAAAACATGATGGATATTTACAAGGCTGGGATTATCATAGATTTAAGTTGTAGAATTAAAAAAAAATACAGATCCTTCAAAACTGTTAAAAAAACATCCAACGATCTGTGAGGATTGATGTTAATGAGCTTGATTTCTAGGAGTTTAATAACTGATATGAAAAAGCTTGGGATTTGAGTGGCTGCGAAGAAGGGAGCTAACGACGGCTGAGTGCCTCTTCATCACTAGGCTTTGAAAGGATGGTATTCTCATTTTTGTTCCACTGAAGAGGAAATTACAGCCAAAGGGGATTGAATAACTGATATGAATTTATAGAGGCCAATAAAAGGAGGGCTCAGGAATTACATTCTGAACTATCTGCCACAAGCCCATGGAGCCTCTTTCTATACCCCACACTATCATTGTGGAGTAGGATCGTCAACATTCTGGGATTTCTCTCTGACCCCTTCAGACCGGCCAAGCAATAAGCACCCAGGATTAAAGAATTTTCCTTTTAAGAAACGTTTAAAGAACTAGATTTTTAACACTACAATTTGAAACATAAACTTAGTAGGCATTTGTTTGAGCAGAGTAAAAAAAAAATTAATCATGTGGTCTCACCTAAACTATGCAAGAAGGTTTGTCCTGTTTTTTCCAGACTGATGTATTTTTTTGTCACAGTAATTGCTTGTGATGCTGACCACTTTCCTGTACTGCACTGCATTTAAGAGTTTTGTAAACAGGATTTCCATTTGCATCAGTAATGACAGATAATCCCTTTAAGCAAAAATACTCCAATTAAAATAAACCAATAAGCTGGTGCAATTTTATTTTGTCTCTTATCTGCACCTTCTGCTCCTTGGGAAAAGCTAAACAAAGCCTAAACAACCCACAAACTAATTTCATTAGAGTGGGAGATTTTAAAGAGATATAACTCCTGTTGAAAGAACGTTTGATAAGGATCACGGAGGTGGGGTGGGGGGAGGAAACACATTCAGCTAAATGAAACCCTGTACTGATTTCTTGAAGGCCAACCATATTTTTGATCTGCATTTGGACATGGTGGTCTAAAGATGGCTTTTGTTTTATGGTATTTAACCTATGGCAATTGACAGTATAATCTTACGTGGGCATTACTAGGCCACAGGCAGGACCATGACAAGGCAAACTTCCCCATGTGTTAGGCATATGACTCTGTTACCAATTTCACCCCAAGAACTTGCTAATTAGAATATACCTTAGAAATAATCCAGCTCAATATTGTCCCTTTGTAGAGTAATGAAACTCACCCTGAATTTCTGTTCAAGAGATTTGCTTAAGGTCACAACAAAGCTCAGGGGCCATAGCTGGACTTGAATTCAGGGCTCCTGGTCCCTTGCCTGAGCTTTTCCCTGGTCCTATCCATGTTCCATCCCTCCTTAATCTCCTTATCCTATAGGGGGAAAAGAAAGTATAATTGCTGAATATTTTGTCTTAAAATATTTGCAAATGAGAGGACTAGATTTGTTTCTTAAAACAATGGGTTGGGGTTTTGGTTTGGCTTTCTGGAAATGTCTAAAGTTCTCATATCCCCTTAAACTTAGTTGAGACGTCCAATGGTCATGAATAGATACTACAGCAAGCTTATGGCACCTTACAAAAGAAAAAAAAAAAAAGATGGCTGAGAGGAAAATTCTCAGAAGGACAGTGAAGCTCAGCAGCAACCCCAAATTTAACAGAGATGAGAGAAGAATGTGGAAGCAACAAAGGTTGGAGGCAGACTGTAGAAACCCCAGACAGATAAAGTAAGTCACAGCAGACGCAGAAAATGTGGCTGCCACAATGCCTAGAATGACAACCAGGCTGGCTTGTTAGCTCAGACATCTCTGCTGGTGCCAGTTTTTATAAGTGTACCACTTTAAGTAGATAGTAGAAAGAATACTTATCTATGAAATGTTCAAAAATCTCCTAAGAAATACATAACATGGGTCTTCGGATATCCCACCTGGGAACCATGAACTCCAAATGCAGCCAGTGCCACTCCTGTCACTGACAGGAACATCTGAGCATCACTACACTGTAGGGTTTCACATGCACATCTCTTTCCTTGGGTGGGTCAGCTAGGGAAGCCAGGGGGACAGCAACAGCCCTGGCATCACAGATGTAGGTTCATGTCCGACTCCACCATGGACTTGCTGGGGTGACTTCGTCCAAGTCAATGAATGTGATCCTTTCTCTTTACATTTAAAATGGGCAGCAATAATTAAACTTGGTTCACAGGGTCTTTGTGAGGATTATATGTGAAATAAAATCCTCTTGACAAACAGTTCTGGGATGAACATGTGCAGACTCTAACGACTACTGTCATAGCAGATGAGGAAACTGATGCTTAGAGAAACTAAGTGTCTTGCTCAAGGCAACGTGGTTGGTAAATACTAGACCTGGTCTTCCCATTAAACCACAAGGATCCCAGAACATTTCCATCAGGGCACACCACCCCACTCCCACACCCATTTTTTCAATTCTTGAAGGCTTCCCAAAAGGGCTCTTCTCAACCCCACCCAAAGATGGCCACCCCAGCAGTGTGAAAGCCAAATGTTTCCCTTGAGGCATGGGATGATACACTGCGGAGCACCATGAGCCCTGCCAGAGCCCCACAAGGGCTCACAGTGACACAGAACTGCAATGAAGACAGGTGAATTGGCAGCTGGTGAGAAGTATGTGACGGGATGGAGGAAGCGCCAGAGCATGGAGCTGTGAGCCAGGCACAGGATGCCCACGATGGAGGCCTCCTTGCTTCAAAGGCAGACACAGAGGACTCACAACACGCACAACGCAGCAACCGTACCTTCTGTGGCTCCTTTGCCTTTCCTGTCAGGGGTCTCTAAGCCAGTGCCCCCTGAGGGATATAGGGAGACGTCCGTTGGCACAGGCCAACTGCTGGCTGTATCCTCCGTGATCTCATACATCTGCCCCTCCATCGGCTGCAGGTGCCAGTTTAGGCCAAACAGGTGCATGGCTGTGGTGAGCAATGAGAAAAGTCATCTTTTTCTGCTGGAGGGGGAAATGGAACTCCCAAGGAACGGGGAAAGAGTGGGTAGGGTAGGGAGACACAGACATTCAGTTCAGTTCCACAAACTGCCCCCAAAGAGAGCTCCTGTTGTGCCAGGCCCTGCATAGCAAGGGGGGAAGAGAGGTGACTGAATCTTGGACCTTGCCCTCCAGGAGCTCACAGACAGGTGAAACTGGGAGAGGAGTGGGATAGGGGAGCTTAGAGGAGGCCTTGACCACTTAAAAAATAAATGGCAGTTTAGACAAGGGACATGAGTATTTGTGTCACAGCTAATTTCCTTATTGCAAAAATAACTTCTACAAATAATAAGCAAGGTCCAATAACATGAGAGGAAGGTCAGCAAGGATCTGAGCGGTGTGCAGAGTAAGAAATACAAACGGCTTCTTCATCACATGAAAAGAGTCTTGACATTATGCGTGGGGAAAGAAATGCAAGTCAGATTTGGAAGTACTACTTGTCACATACAATTTGGCACAGATACAAAGGGGTGAGAATTTGCTCTATCGGCAGAGACAGGAAGCAAGTTTTGTTGGTGACAGCATAAGCTGGTATTTGATAAAAAGCTATTTAGGCTATACCCAGGAATTGAAGTTCCCAATTCTAGAAATTTCCTTCAGATATCCTCACACATGTATTAAATGATGCATGCACAAGGTTACTCACTGAAGCTCAGCTGCTAACAGCTGAACACTAGGCACTGGTTCACTGAAAAAGAGGCTAGACAGATAAGTCGCAGGACAAGGCTGTAGAGAACCACAGGAAAGAATGAACAGGCACTTTCTAGATTTTTCTGGAGCAAAAACTATACATGCAAAAGAGGGTGTCTCATTCACATCCTTGGTTTGAATAGCATTAGTCCCAGAGACACACAAGTTACCCCAAACAGCAGCTATGTTCTGTTATGGAAAGAGACGCAACAAATCAGAGGTAAGAGGAACTTGCTTGCCATATTTTTTGCGCATTTTCATTTTTGTGCCATTGCATGTATTTCTGTTCTGTTTTTCTAAGGTAGTCACTGTGAAATAGCCTTGTATAACAGTCTAGAAGACTCCAAAGATGGGACCTTCCATCCCTTAAGATACATAATACTGGAGAAAACATGGAAGCCAGCGGGTCTGCCAAAAGTTTTCTGCTGCTAGAGCAAATGTTTGTTTCCATGCCATGGACCTGCCAGGGGTCTAGACTCACCTCCTCAGGGTTACTGACATCAATTTCCCACATCCTGAGTCAAGCACTGACAATTACAAATGACCAGTTACTAAATGCTTACTGTGCACTGAAGGTATCAAAAATGAACATATTCTCTAAATTTCACAAGCAACCCTAAATAATGAACATCCATAGTCCTATTTTCAAACACAGTGCCACACAAAAGACTACAATACGCAAAGCTTGATGGCTAGCAAGAGGCAGAGAGTTAGAGTCCAGGATTGCTCAAACTCTGAAAACCCACACCTTTCAGCTTTTGTCTCCACAGGCCCCACACCGCCTTCTCAGTCACACAGCCTCTCTCCAGCTGTACCTGGCTGGTCTATGGGAGACACTCCCTTCGACTCACCAAAAACCTCCAAGGTTCTTAAGCCTACTTGTTGGCAGTGATATAGAGTCCCGTGACAGAGGAAGTTTCTGGAAGGTGTTCCTGCTGGCAGCTTTGAAGGCCCACGTTACTTCAATCTGCAGGGGTGACTGCCCTGTGGAGTACATGCTCTGACTTCAAGTCCTACAGCAGGCCGTGTGGAAAACAGTTTGGGAGGTTGAACTTGGGTCACATTCACCAGAAGTGACCCTCTGCTTTCTCCTTTCTCCTTGGTGACTGTCATGCCAGGGAAGCTGTACTTAAGCAGAGGTAAGAAAACTGATCTTGAACCCAAACTGTCCCCTCCTGGCTGCCGCATTCTTGCCTGAGAAATGGGAATAAAAAGATTTCCCAAGATGCAGTAAGTTGTGCATCTTCACATGTGACTTCCATACTTGACGGAAGCTACACATTTACTCCTGTTATGGAGAGTAATGATGACAGAGGGAGGTGATGATTACCAAGCACCTTTATAGGCACCAGGTACTAAGGGCGGTGCTTTACTCTGCTCTCTGCTGTCTCTTTGAAGCTGTCAATCATAATCAGAGCACTTGCTTGCCTGGAAGCAATGAATACTCTGTGATTTGCAAATCTGAATTAGCTCATATTCCTGCTTACCTTCTCATTGTTTCAGTGTATGTATTGGCATCTGCACAGGTAATGGAGAAATGGTTTGAACTGCAGACAACTCAGGCACAGGCAGTTTAAATGAGCTTCTTCCCCATTAGAATCAATTATCTCATCTAAATGTGCAAAAGCGCTGTCTTGTTAAAAGGTCATGAGAATTAACGAATTCCAGAATGAATAAAACTCTCACTGCTTTCTGAAGAGACATTTTTTATTGTCAAAGCTTCCTCTTATTTTTTTAACAAGATATAAGTCAGTCCTTGCATTAAAAAAAATACACTGGTGTGGGGGAGGAGGAGAGGCCACGAGCTAAAACACTGCAGGTCTGGGTGCTGGAGCAGGACAGCCTACAGCTGGGTGAGGGAGGTGACAGGGTGGATGTTGGCAGCCCCTCTTCTCTGGTCTAGGCCCCTGTAATCATAGGGGCCACACAGCCTTGAGGCCAGCCAGAGGCCCTGGGGAAGAAGTACACCTGAAAAGCACCTAACAGAGTTCTGTATCTAACCCCTACTTATGGGGATGTTCTTAGGAAATGATTTAAGAGACTGGGGAGAGGGAAGGTGAACCCAGGCTCACCAAGACTGGGAGGAGCTGTAGCTAGCTGGAAGGTGAGACTTCCGAGCAGGAGCAAGACGAGGCAAAGATGCAGAGATATGAATGTTGTCTCAAAGTCTAAAGAACAGAGACCTTTTCTCTGTGATTCAGGATATTGCAATACTAATGAGGCAAGTGAGCCTCACTTTCATTACGGCATTGTTTGCTGCTGTTGATTTTTTCAGTGCTGGGTGGTGAGGAGGGGAAGGGAGATAGGAGGGGAAGGGAGATGGAATGGGAGCTTTGTTCTCTTCTTTCTGATGGACACAGTATGTGCTGGGCCAGGCCAGAGATGAGCCTGGAAAATGGGAACTCTGCACAACACTCTGCTTTATCTTACAGTCATCAAAATATTAGTGGTGACACACACCATGGGAATCATCCGCACATGCAATGCCTACAGATGCTTTCTTATGCTATTCAGTTTCATCCTCACATAAAGGTAGTTTGAGAAAACATTACTGGAGAGGGACCATAAGGGAACTGCAGTAGAACTGGAGCCAAAGTGATTACCATCCAGGGAACTAAGTTACCTAAGACCCCAGAGCATTTCAGGCCAGCTGCATGCTCAGAAGCCTGTATTCCCAAACCAAACTTCTGAGTTTCCACGTTTCCTTGAAACAAGATGAAATCTGCGTAACCATAAAGCCACAAGCAGTACAATGGCTGAAAATAAATGTCTGGCAGTGCCCGTTGATAAACTTTCCTAGGGCTCACTGTAATCCCCACTTAAAACCTGTGTATGAAGGTCAGCCTTGTGGCACAGCAGCTTAAATGACTACCTGAGATCCTAAGAACCCATATGAATGCTGGTTCAAGTCCCAGTTTCCATACTTCTGACACATTCCCTGAAAAATAACAAGAAGATGTCTCAAATACTTTAGGTCCCTGTCACCTACATGGGAGATCTGGATGGGGTCCCAGTCTTCTGCTTTTGGCCTGGCCCATCTACTGCTGTTGCTGCCACTTGGGAAGTGATCCAAGAGACCTTTCCTCCAAGGGAGTAGAAGATCTGTCTCTCTTCCTGTGACTCTGCCTTTTAAATAAATGAAATAAATATTTTTTAAAATCTATATATGGCACTAAATGCATGTTAGCCCAATTGGAAGTATGGATTAAAAAAAAAACTAAGAAATAGTTTTAAAAGCTTGGTAAGAATAGACCAGATTATTAAAGCAATATATGTATCACAGTTACTGTAAAAAAAAGTTAGGAAATATTTTTGAAAGCCTGTGAAGGAAGGATCAGATTACTGAAGCTGTAAATATTAGTTACTGTATTCCCTATTTCCTAAGGAATTAATGATGATCATCCTCTACCCACATATATCCCAGAATTATCTAAATGGCATCTTTTGGCATGGATTCTTAACTATTGTACAGAAAGCTCTCAAATAAACTGAATGTGGTCTGTGTAAGAAAGGAGATTGTCTGTGATTCAGTGAAGAGCTGAAAAGATGCTAAGAATTCAGAGAGAGGCCGTGAAAAGGTGGTGGCGTCATAGGCTCACCCACATGGAAATGTTAATGATTTCTGAAAGCCAAGAGCAGGGCACAGAGAGATTCTGATTCCCTTGGCTCTGGCCAATCTGATGCCAGGCTGACATTTTCCCATCACCTTCTTTCTGCACAGCAAAATGAGAGAGATGACTCGGCAAGTGGTAGCCCCATCTTAACATTTTCAGACCTGAAGGCTCTCCCCAGCATCCGGCCAAGAGGAGACAACGGGCAACATCATCACACGGGGGCAGCCAAGGTAAGGGCAGGGGAGTCACCTCTGTCACCATGCACAGAGCCACTTGCTTGCATCTGCATCTCAGCACTTCCAGAGAGGGACTAGGGCTGGTGATAAGCACAAGGACTGAGGACGTAAGGGACACGTTTGTTCTTAAAGGACAGTGAGAATTAGATCATCCACCTGGCCACCCATTTTGTTTGTTTTATATTAGTACTTTAGCTTTTGGCTTTTGGGGTTTGCTCTAAATAAGGTCATTTCTATCAAAACGAAGTCACCAGAATTCTTTGACTTGTGGTCTTCTAGTGGGAAAAACAGAAAAACAACAGCAACCGTCTCACATTCCTGGCTTTGATAGAAAGTTGTGGCATTTTATAGCTCTCAACCAAGAAACTACAGATACAGAAATGTACACA